CATACAATCTGCAACTGCAAGAAGAAACAGAAAGAAAAGTGCAGATGAAGGCCCTTAACTACATCCAAACTACACATATCAGATATTCAACTGACAAGATTGGATTGAGACCCTTAAGTGATTTAAATGAGGTAGGTAACACTGCCATTCGTGATTTTTGAAATTCCTGCTAAAGACTAAAATTTCTGCACTTATATATCTATATGAATAAAAATGGTGATATGGCACATAATTAAGAAAAAGACAATGGGAAATTTAAAAAATGACAGTAACTGTAGAGTGGCATTGAGATTTCCTATTTCTTTCTTTTTTTTTTTAACATAAACTCAAGATTTTATTGTCTTCATAATAAAAGATGACACTTAGAACTGGATCACTTGGCCCTTTCTCTTCTTATCTCCTCCCAGTTCAAAATGCTTGCATCTTTTAATAGCCAGCATTCTCTTAGATCTGCAGTTGGGCTCAATGCACTCAAGCCTTAGCACAATCTTCTTTGTAGTTTTAGCCTTTTTCCGGAAAATCGGCTTAGTTTGCCCACCATAGCCACTCTGCTTCCTGTCATAACGCCGCTTTCCCTGGGCATACAGAGAATCTTTGCCCTTCTTGTACTGTGTCACTTTGTGGGGTTGGTGCTTGCCACACTTCTTACAGAAAGTCCGGCGGGTTTTAGGGACGTTAACCATGCTTGCGAGAGCGATACCGGCACGGGAAGAAAGAAAGAAGCCGCGCCGCAAACGGAAGTATCGAGATTTCCTATTTCTGATTGAGATCTCAAGAGAGTTTTAAACTTTTTATAGTGAATAGATTTGTACAAAAGGATATATGCAACATAAACAAGAATTGTAAAACAAATGGTTGGTACTTAAAAACCCAGTTTAAGAAGTAAAATATCATTAGTAATTAATAGGCCCTGTATAACTCTCCCCAATTCAGTGGGAGAGACAGGAAGAACTTTGAGCTAGGCAAACAGCAATTACTCACATAATCTTATGAACAGTATATTTCACTTTTCACAGAGTACACATATACATCATCAAAATAAAGGGCAGTTTAAGAACTAGAATGTCAGGCTGGGCACAGTGGCTCATGCCTATAATCCCAGCACTCTGGGAGTTCAACACGGGTGGATCATCTGAGGTCAGGAGTTCAAGACCAGCTTGATCAAAATGGTGAAACCCTGTCTCTACTAAAAATATGAATTAGCTGGGCGTGGTGACACACGCCTGCAATCCCAGCCACTTGGGAGGTTGAGGAAGGAGAATTGCTCGAACCCAGGAGTTGGACGTTGCAGTGAGCCAAGATTGTGCCTCTGCACTCCTACCTGGGAGACAGAGTGAGACCCTGTCTCAAAAAAAAAAAAAAATTTTTTTTAGAGAAGGGGATCTCACTATATTGCCCAGGCATTCTCCCATCTTAGCCTCCCCAGTCACTGAAATTACAGGTGTCAGATACCAAGCCTGGCCCTACATTTTGTTTTAATCAATCTTATTTTTGTTTTTGTTTGTTTTTTGGTTTTTCTTGGTTTAAATATCTAAGAATGGATTCATAAATTGTAAGTCATTTCATTTTGCCTATTTTTATCTTCACATAAGTGGAATCACAAGCTGTATATAATTTTATGATGTTTTTATCCAAACCAATGTTTCTGAGATTCATTCATGTTCATATATGTTACTCCAGTACCATAGTTTCATTATTTTAAATAGCTAAATATACAGTAACACTAGTTTACTCAATTTATTATAACAGACCTTCATATTGTGTCTATCTGGGATTATCGAGGTCATTACTTCTGTGAACTTTCTTGCACATGTTTCCTGGTGTAGATGTGCACACATTTCTCTAGTATATATGTAACAAGGTGAGAAGCTGGTTGAGACATTCACATAGAGCTGCTCAGGGTGAAGATACATCTATAGATCTAGAGCTCAAGGCTGAAGCCTGGCATAGAAAAATGGCAGGCCACCCTGCCATCCCTCAACCCTTAATGTCCTTGCAAGGTTTGAAATGTCTGGATGGAGGGAACCATTTTCCATTTCCTATTTCTCACTAGGTAATATATATTTTTTTCAGCTTCTGAGTTCCCTTCCCTGCCCTTCCCTCCCATCCTTTCCCCTTCCCTTTCCTTTGCGGGCGTGGTAGCACACACCTGCAGTAGCTTGATATCAGCTCACCACAACCTGTGCCTCCTGGATTCAAGCAATTCTTGTGCCTCCGCCTCCTCAGTAACTGGAATTACATGCATGTGCCACCATGCCTGGCTAATTTTTATATTTTAGTAGAGATGAGGTTTCACCATGTTGGCCAGGGTGCTCTCAAACTGCTCACTCAGGTGATCTGCCGGCCTTGGCCTCCCAAAGTGCTGGGATTACAGGTGTGAGCCACCACTCTTGGCTGGGCCTGATTAATCTTTTAAAGATATTTTGATTGTTATTGATGATAGGATCTTTAAAAACAAAATTCTATGAATTAAATCTGTTCATTTTTTCCTGGAAATTATGTAGAGATGGATTAGTGAATTTAAATCTTATTAGATTAGTTGCCTTCCTTGATAAGATAAATTGCATGAATTTCTTTTTTAAATAATTCAATCAAAGCACAGATAAAACATCAGTAATTAAAATTTTCAGTGTTAATTCAAGCAGGATTTGGTTGTTTAAGTTAAAGAAATGAAACAAAATGAATGACAACCCTATAGAAATGTAAGATCCAAGAGGGCATGCATTTTTGCTTGTTTTATCCATTGATGTATATCTAGCACTTAGAATAGTGCCTGGCACATAGTACCTTCACATAAACATGTGAAAGCTGGCAGAATATTCCAGATTACAATATGCCATTTTGGCATAAGGATTATTTTGAGCTAAAGGGACTTAAAAACAGCAGATGCAAGAGGGGTGCTCTGATCTCCCGTTTTTCTTCCTAGAAGTAGAAGATAAAACCTCCCTATAGAAGATGTGCTCCCTGGCTGGGGTCAGTGGCTCACACCTGTAGTCCTAGCACTCTGGGAGACCGAGGAGGGCAAATCACGAGGTCAAGAGATGGAGACAAAAATTAGCTGGGCATGGTGGCACCTGTCTGTAGTCCCAGCTACTTGGGAAGTTGAGGCAGGAGAATTGGTTGAACCACGCCCGGCTAACTTTAGTAATTTTAGTAGAGACGGGGTTTCACCATATTGGCCAGGATGGTCTGGATCTCATGACCTCGTCATCTGCCCGCCTCAGCCTCCCAAAGTGCTGGGATTACCGGCCTGAGCCACCAGGCTCGACCAATGAGTCTTCTTTAAATCACATATGATGAAGGGTGGTTTTTGCAGTAAGCCATTTTTGGAACAAAAGAAGGTGGGGAGGATTTCTTTAACCATTGCTGTTTTTTGATCACAGAGCTCAGATAAAGGTAAACAGGCCATTGAAAACTGCCTATAAAATAGGCAAAATTAAAATGAAAAATAATATCAATATTATTAGTTTCAATCAATGACATATCATTTAAATCTCACTGGGTCTGATGTTTAAAAAAATAAAAATGTAAAAGATTAAATACATTTGGTTTTATTTTAATGTAATCAGAAATTAGTGACATATGTTAGTTAAAGCAATATATGTTGGATATCATGAAAATTGCCTGTCTAGTCATACTTCCTGAATCCCAATTGCTCTCAACTCTTCTGAGGTAGTAATCACTTGATGATGAGCTTAAGGGTGCTGTTACCTGGACCACAGGATCATTACTTTAAAAACAAAATTGGCTAGTATGCTTACAAATAAGTAGATTTCTCTGATAGACATCTTTCCCATAAAAGTTCTCTCCAGCTCCAAGAACAGTGATTTTTTTTTTAGGTTTACATACAATGAAACTCAAAAATAATGTGAGATATTAAATTAAATGGAATATATCCAAGGTATTTTGCTATATGGTTGTAATTTCATGGAAGTTTTATTTTGCCTTTCTAAAAAAAAAAAAAAAAGCATATGTCAGTTTCTGAACATGAACAGTATTTTATCGTTTTACGATTTTTTTAAATTGAAGCAAAGAATATATGTAATAATGTGCCCTAGAGAGTACTCCTCTTATTTGGGCCTAAAAACAAATCATGCGTGGATTTAAAAAGATAATAATAACAATAATAAAGAAGATGAGGGACAAATATCCCCGGAAAATGTTTACCAAGACATTGCTAGTTTAGCAATATTAGTATCAGACAAAATATTAAAGCAAAGGTGTTTACAGGGATAGAGAGGGACACTGTAAGGACTCTTATCTGCAATGTGGAAAACAAGATATTCCAGAAAACTCTATTGAAGCAATACACCTATGAACTAGAGAAACTACAACCAACAAACTAGTACTTAGTTACTCAATTAACAAAAAACACAAGGGGCCGGGCACGGTGGCTCATGCCTGTAATCCCAGAACTTTGGGAAGTCAAAGCGGGTGAATCACTTGAGGTCAGGAGTTGGACACCAGCTTGGCCAACATGGTGAAACCCCATCTCTACTAAAAATGCAAAAATTAGCCGGGCGTGGTGGTGCGTGCCTATAATCCAAGCTACTCAGGAGGCTGAGGCAGGAGAATCGCTTGAACCTGGGAAGTGGAGGTTGCAGTGAGCCGAGATCATGCCAGTACAGTCCAGCCTGGGTGAAGGAGCATGACTGTCTCAAACACACACACACACCCCCAAAGAAAAAAAAAAGCAAAGAAAAAACCACAAGGGAAATTCCCATAAACCATCCAGAACAATAATATTTAGAAGCTGAAACTAGGGTGACAAATAGGACATCTTTGGTTCTCTGGGTGCAAATACCATTAATCAGGATTCCGAGCTCTGGGAATTAAAGTCTGCCCCTTAGGGAATATAATTCTAGGCTCTTAAACAAAAGTGAAGACACATAGCATAAAGCCAGAATGCTTTGAAACAGGGGTAGCCTGGAGAAAAAAAGGAAAAAAGAAGAAAAAAACTAGTAAACATCCCTGGGATAAAACCTTGTTTGTCTCTACAGGACTCTGGCTCTGAGGAGGTGGATGGAGAAAATTGGCCCCGAAGATTTAACCCTAAGTTTTAATGAAGTCTTGAGTTCCAATGAAGACTTCCTGAAATTAAATTGACTCGGGCTTATAGTGCCCCCTTGTGCCTGATGAAGACAAACACAAACCCCTTCAGGAGGAAATCATCTTGAACCCAAGTTCTCTACATTTATACACATTATCTATTTATTGAGCAATCATTTATTGAACACCTATTATATGCCAGACACTCTGTCAGGAACTTAGGATGTTTAAATATAAGGTCGTAACAAATGTCACAAAATTGAAGAAAAACAGACACTATGGAGAGTTTGGCTTATAAGCAAAGAAGAGCCTTCTATTTCCTCCTAGATCCCTAGGCAAACAAAGGATTTCAGATATTGAAATGATTAGATACAGACTATAAAAATAACTATTTACTAAAAGTTTAATGAAATAAAAAATAGAATAATAAAACAATCAAGGAGCACGGGATAATCAAAACCAAGTACATTTGAAAAAGAACAAAAGAGAACTTTGTTATACTCCATAATGATAAAATAAAAATCCAGAAGTAAGATGTAACATTCAAAACCTTATAGGCACTGGACTACCGAACCACTACTATGTCAATAAATAACTGACAGAATTAGAAGGGGAATTTCAAATTTACAATTGTAGGGTAACCTTTCAATATTCTGTATGAGTGTTAGACACTTATATTACAAACAAAGAAAAATGCTAATGGTTGTCCAGGATTTGAATAAGACAATAAGCAAATTTGATCTATCTATGATTACCTTCATTTGACACAGAAAACATCCCTTCTATTTTTCAAAGCATACATTGGACAATTTCAAAAAAAATTAATCCTGGTTTCAGAAAGTTATAGAAATTAAGGAACATAACTACAAAAAGGGAGATACAAAGAACAATAAGAGAATGCTGTGTAATGTTTACAAAAAATTAAACTCAGTGGAAAATAATTTTCAAGAAGAAAATTAATAGACAAGCTGAGTAAACAAATTATGATTATGAAAATAAGGTAGGCAGTTAAAAAAAAATCTTTTCTGTGTCTTTCCACCCAAATACTGCCAAGTCCAATCTGATTTTCCAAGTTTTAGTGAATTTTTAAGGAATAGATCATCTCTTATTTTTTTTTTTTTTCTGAGATGGGTCTCGCTATGTTGCCTCCACTGTAGTGCAGTGGCTATACACAGGTGTGATGGCAGCACCCTACAGTCTCTAACTCCTGGGCTCAAGTGGTCCTTCTGCTTCACCTCCTAAGTAGCTGGGACTACAGGGACATGCCACCTTACTTGGCATGATACCTATTTTACAGAATCTGTTACTATAGAAAAATAGCTCTCCTACTTACTTTTTTCTTTTAAAATTGTATAACATTATTAGCAAAACTAGAGGAAAATACAAATTTTAAAAAGGGAGAAGAAAAAAACAAAAGTATAGCTTTGTCTCACTAATGAACATTCATTTTTGTTTTTCAGAAATAAATGCCTATTATGAGAAAACATGGAAACCAGGAGAAATTGCAGAGACCATATTATTTAAATAAATAGCATATTATATAGGGTTTATTCTAAGAATAGAAGGAAGTTTAGCATTCTAAATCTGCCAGTTTAAGAAATTAATAAAGGAAGGCCCAGAGCAGTGGCTCACGCCTGCATTCCTAGTACTTTAGGAGGCCGAGACAGGTGGGTCACTTGATGTCAGGAGTTCAAGGCCAGCCTGGCCAATGGCAGGAACCCCTGTCTTCTACTGAAAATACAAAAATTAGCCAGACATGGTGGCATGCACCTGTAGTCCCAGCTACTTGGGAAACTGAGGCAGAAGAATCACTTGAACCTGGGAGGTGGAGGTTGTAATGAGCTTAGATCAAGGCACTGCACTCCAGCCTGGGTGACAGAGTGAGACTCCATCTCAAAAATAAAAAATAAAATAAAAAAAGAGATTAATAAAAAACGTGATCATCTCCAAAGATAATGAGAAAGCAAATTCTAAATTACTGAAAAATGTAATGTCGAGCAAACCCTAATGAATATTTTGTAGAGCACTGTAAAATGCATATCAATGAATGAAAAGAGTCAAGATGATTCTCAAAAAAAAAGAAAAAAAGAAAAAGGAAAAGAAAGAAGAGAGTGATGGGCCATGACTTAGCACTATATATGAAGACATATGAACCTACAGTAATTAAAACAGTGTGGCATTTGGTCTAGGCATAATCAGCAGGTAAGTAGAATAGAGTTAGGCATTTTTGGAGTTTTCTGGGAGCCTCTTTGCTGACATATTCTAATTGCCTATAGATAGCTCTTCACTGGATGCTTTAACTCTGTATCCCTGGGAATAAGGTGGGTAGAGAGGGTGAATAATGCTAAAATATTTCTCTGATTCTAAACTCAACTCACACTGTTTGCTATAAGAATCTGGTTGACTCAAGTTGGTGTGTGTTTTCAATGCAGAGAATGGAGACTTCATCTCCATACATGGTGTTGGGCTGCTGAAGCAAGATGAAGAGAGAAGCATCCCTGAAGAACCAGAGAAGTGGTAATTGCGTGGGCGTGTGGTGTGATATGGGGAGAGTACCATAAAAAAAAGAGACAGGTATATACTGTACTATATTTATGTGCAGTACTATTATTGGCAGAGAGACAAGTGGAAATCTCACTGATCATGTGAAATGCAAGGTTTTGTTTTTACATGTTGTTAAATTAATTCCTTAGAGTTACCAAGAGATAATTATTTGTAATGTAAAGAAGGGACCCTGGAGCTAACCTGCCTAGGTCAGAAAGCTCTCTGTCATGTATTAGGCGTAGGACATTGGACAAGTTATTTTAAGCTTCACTTGGTATATACTCATGGGTAAAAGTGGGATAACAGGCCGGGCGTGGTGGCTCACACCTGTAATCCCAGCACTTTGGGAGGCCGAGGCGGGTGGATCACAAGTCAGGAGTTCCAGACCAGCCTGACCAACATGGTGAAACCCTATCTCTACTACAAATGCAGAAATTAGCAGGGCATGGTGGAGCGCACCTGTAATCCCAGCCATTCAGGAGGCTGAGGCAGGAGAATCGCTTGAACCCGGGAGGTGGAGGTTGCAATGAGGTGAGATCGCACCACTGCACTCCAGACTGGGCAACAGAGGGAGACTCCATCTCTTGCAAAAAAAAAAAAAAAAAAAAAAAAAAAAGTGGGATAACAGTGCACAGGTATGTTTTGGGGCTGACATTAGTATCTGGAAATCACTTAGAAATGTATGTGTAAAAAATAAAAAATAAAAAGAAATAAAAATAACTCGTAAGGGTTGTCAGCTATGTGCACCAACGGCTGCATTGTCTTTCTTGCACCTGAAGGGCTTCTGCTTTCGTGGATTTTTTTTTTTAAAAACATTCAATTAGGAAATAATTATTCGCACGCATTCATATACATACATACACCGAATCATCACACGAAGAGCCCTACAGGCGTGAGAACAGTAAGGGAGGTGCAAGAAACGTCTCCTTGGAGATGGGAAGCATATTTTCAGCTACTAGAGAAGGGGGGAGGTGCCAGCTCTCAGAAGAAAGCAGGAGGATGCTGAGAGACTGAAGCTGAAATTTTCTTCCTGCTTCCTCACTCTTCTCGTTGGTTTCAGCAGTCTGAAAAACTCTTGTGAGAGGAGCAAAAAGATCAAGGGAAGATTATTGCCTGGCTTCTCAGTCTTCAAAATTTCCGGTCCTCTGTTTTTTTTGTTTTGAGATGGAGTCTAGCTCTGTCGCCAGGCTGGAGTGCAGTGGCGCGATCTCGGTCATTGCAACCTCCGCCTCCCGGGTTCTAGCGAATTCTTCTGCCTCAGCCTCCTGAGTAGCTGGGACTACAGGCGCGTGCCACCATACCCAGCTAATTTTTTGTACACCTGGTAGGGACGGGGTCTCACCGTGTAAGCCAGGATGGTCTCTATCTCCTGACCACGTCATCCGCCCGCCTCAGCCTCCCAAAGTGCTGGGATTACAGGCGTGAGCCACTGCGACGGCCGGTCCTCTGTTTTTAAACTGTCCACCGGATTGTTCGAAGTCTCCGATGTCCGGCGATCTGGTGGCCGCAGAAGAAAGAGGTCCACTCGCCGGGGACTGGGAACCACCAGCTAGCGGCCTACGGGGAAACGTCCCGGACGCGCGCCGGACGGACGTTAAACGTTCGTGACGCCATATGCGGGAGCCGGATGGGCGTAACGTGGCAGCGGCGTAAAGTGTGGCTCTGTAGTCAGGGCACGGAGGGGCGTGGCCGGACGGCCCTATGAGGGGGCGGGCGTTTGTGGCAAAGGTTGATGGGATGACCTTATGAGGGAGCCTGCATGGAGGGGCACGATGGTCCCCAAGACTCTTTTTCATGCCCGCATAGCCGTACCGGGAGTAGGATGACTGCTGCCATTTTTCAGGACCTTTCATCTTCGGCTTGAAGTTCTGTGCGATTTTCCGGCTTTGTGTGGCTATTTAGTACTAACATTTTAGGGCGGTTTCATTTCCTTTAAAGTAAAGCTCTCCAGATATGGTCTCCGGACCAGCAGCATCAGCATCACCTGGATAATTTAGAAGTACAAATTATCAGGTCTTACCTCAGATCGAATGCATTAGTAAAGTTTTGTGACTGCTTCAAAACATTGTTTCCCTTAATTCAGATGATGGAGGAGACCTTTCAAATGGCAGCTTAGCATAAGCTAATATGTTTTTAACTTCAGGTTCATTACCAAAGCCAAATCAGTGCTTAGGCCTTACCCACTCAGAACTTGATGCCGGAAAGTAAAGTGAAAACAGGTAGATAGGTAGGTAGGTAGGTATGTAGATAGATGTCTATAAAGGGGAGGTCTTAGAAGAAGGGTTTGGATCAACAATGAAGGCAGAATTTACAATTCTCCGCAGATTTTATTAATAATAACTTTTCTTTTCAGACTTCTTGCCATCTTCTCATTCAGATTTTTCTTAGCAAAGGTAGTCCATGGCAAGTAATGAATTAACTAGGTCTGTAACGGAAGTAAATTCTATTTTTATGTTTATAAGCTCAAAAAGTAACATGAAGTGCAAACATCTTGTTTAGTTTCTTCCCCTTGGTAACCTTCATTTGATGAACCAGTGTGTAGCAAACCAGTATGAGTTGGATTTGGGTGGGATCCACACAGTCATTTTCAGGCAGACGAGACTTCCTAAGTTCTATGGATAGATTCATATTGCCAGTTATTTTATGCGTTCATTTCTCCTCTGCCTTCATGTGTCTCCCCTGATTGAAGAAATAAGAAGGGTTTAGTTATTAGGTGACATTTTGCCATCACCATTAATATTTTCTATATAAAGAGGATTCTTTTTACATGTGCTTCTATGATGAACTATAGGAATTTCTACTTCAGTTCTAGCTACACTTTAGTAGCATTAACACATAAAAAGTCATGCTTAGTCAAGAAATATCACTGAATAATGTGATCTTTGTTTCAACTTCCCCAACTACTCTTCCTGGGTGGGATTCAAATAGTTCAAAAGCTCATATTCTCTCCCTTTCATTTTTGACCTGAAAATATTTGAACACTCTAATTTGCATTTTAACTCAGTGAAAAGGAAAATATAATAACTGTTAAATTTTGCTAAGTGCTTACTAAAATTCCATCACTGTTTTAAGAGCTTTACATGAACTATCTTAAAATAACTTTAAGAAGTGATCTACTATTATTATCCTCTTTGTATAGATGAGGAAAGTGAAACCCAGAAAATCTGAGTCACTCATTCAGTTGAACCCTTGTGACAACTCAGTAGTGGCCTCTATTCCTGTAGTTATAGATATTTGTGCACTTCAATTATGTTAGAAATTATGTCATGCTGCAAATACTTTTTGAGAGTCTGCCATGTGCCTGGAACAGCCTTAGGCATTAGGAAACCAGCAGCAAAACAGGTGAACTCCCTGTTTTCATGGACCTTATGGTCTTCAGGATTGGAAGGGGAGGCAAACAATAAACAAATTTAAGATAGTGCTAAGTATAATGAGGAATGCATACAGCAAGTTAAGAATGAGGATAGAAGGGTGCCATTTTACATTTGATGGTCAGAGAAAACCTATCAGATGTGGTGACATTTTCATCAATCCGCTTAATCCGAAACCCAAGAAATGCGAGAAATATTTCAGTTATTTGACAGGTATTACACACAACTGAGACACCAAGTATATGACAAGGCCTATGTACTTATGTCCCCTTTTGGTTTTCTCTCTGTCTTTCTACCATATTTTGCTTTTGGTTTCTCTTAGGTCTCCAAGCTCTTTCCTGCCCCACCTTTTCTTTCTTTTTTTTTTTTTGAGACAGCCTCTGCTGCCCAGGCTGGAGTGCAGTGGCGCACTCTTGGCTCACTGCAACCTCCGCCTCCTGGGTTCAAGCGATTCTTTTGCCTCAGCCTCCCATGTACAGCTGGGACTACAGGCGCATGCCAGCAGGCCTGGCTAATTTTTGTATTTTTAGTAGAGACAGGGTTTCACCATGTTGGCCAGACTGGTCTGGAACTTCTGACCTCGTGATCTGCCTGCTTTGGTCTTCGAAATTGCTGTGAGCCACTGCAGCTGGCCCCTCCCTTTTTTAGTAGGAGTTTGCTTCTTCTATTCCTTTTCTGAGTCCTTCTCAACTTCTCTCACCTTTTTTCTCATGCTGTCCCCAATTTCCTAGAAAGTAATTGTAACTTGGCTATAATATTTATAAAATATTGTTTTGTATTTATAAATAATATTTTGAAATTTTAAAACAGAATATTTTATTACTCAAAAATTAGAATAAATATGTTTGCCTTGATGCAATTAATTTGATAGTTCCTCTATGAGCCCAAGTTCATTTGACTTTGCTGAAGATTTCCAAAGTATCAGACACACTTCTTTAGGCTTTAGTGAAAGAAAAAGGTAAATGAAAACAATTAGCTGTAAGTCTCCTTAACTGAGCGTTCCAGGAGGTCAAGGACCACCATATCTCTCTGTGTATCTGCAGTGCCCAAGCCAGTACCTAGGAGTTTTGCATACTTCATGAATTTCCTTACAAATCCTTCATGACTAATTTCTTCTATTTGGTTTCTTTTTTTTATACCTCTCTCTGC